GTCCGGAATTCTACACAGTGGAAATTTAATAGAGATAAAGACAAGGTTCAAAACTACATGGAAATGATTTGGCCTAACAGGAGCACATGTCTGCAAACACAACTGTGATTTAGTTGGCTAGGACTTCAGTGAGTCAAGTGTATAGTACTGTTTAGAAAAAAAACCTACCACCTTGATTTTTATTTTGCCTTTTATTTTAACAGTGTTGAAGAGAAGGAATGAAGGTTACTGTCAGCCAGCACTGAATACTGAACACGTAGCCTGCACTGAGAGCCACACTTTAAGAGGGCCATTAATACAGTAAATGAAGAGCAGAGAAGTTTAAAACTGTCAAATAAGAAACAGCTGGCAGAAACGGGAATACTTAGCATGGGGAATAGAGAACCTATGAACAGACAGCAACCTCAACAACTATGGAGGTTCTGGGAGCCAGGTAAAGTTGGCCAGTAGGCACTTAGCAAAATGAAGAGTCTGTTCAACATCAGAAATGTGAGCTGTGTACAATGAAATTCTTTTTCTCAAAGAAAATAAAAATAGTAATTTTTTTTTTATGTGCAATCTCCCCATTTCTAAAAGTTGACTTACAATTGAAGCTTTTGTGTAAACGGGGCTGGCCTTATTTGATTCAGGCATGCTAGTTTGCAACTTGTGTCATGGTAAAACACGGTGGCTATCTTGAACAGCCACAGGGAATAGAAACACTTTTGTTCTGTGCGACACTCATAGGGAAGCAAACCACAGGAAAAGGCTCCGAGAACCTGGTCTATAAATTGGAATGGGCTGCCCAAGAAAGGTGACATCACTGAAAGAATTTAGCTAGGCACAGGCAGGTAAATATTATTGGCCAGTTCATGAAGTCTGCCACTTGCTACATCTGACCTTGGCCAAACACCCTAATCCTCCCAAGACTCAATTTTCTTTCCCACCTACCTTTTCCCCTTGAAAAAAGAAATATGTTTAAGTTTAGCCTATCTTTCAGGGATTTTACAGATCAAAATCTGTGCAAGAAAAAATATGTGCAAGGACTATAGGATGTCAAAGAACTTAAACAGTAATTGAGGATATTATCATAATCTACCATCATAATGTATTTATATCATACATGTCTTATCTCTTATTACTCATGTTAAGGGTATATTCCCAACCTATTTTTTTTCCTTTAGAATATCAAGTATTTGTTGAAAATTGTTTAAAAGTAAATTAGATCCATATATTCTACTACTCACTTTATATTATATGTTTTTTAAGAGAGAAAATTTTTTTAATTTTTTTTTTTTTTTTTTTTTTTTTGGTTTTGGTGGACACAACATCTTTATTTTACATTTATATGGTGCTGAGGATCGAACCCAGGGCCCCGAGCATGCCAGGCGAGGGCCCTGCCGCTTGAGCCACATCCCCAGCCCACGTTATTTATGTTTTAAATTTACATAATAAACCATATGTTATAAACATAAAAATAAAATAAATAAAAGTAAATTGGAGCCAGGTGCAGTGGTGCACACCTGTAATCCCATCACTCAGGAGGCTGAGGCAGGAGCATCACAAGTTCAAAGCCAGCCTCAGCAATTTAGTGAGGCCCTAAGCAACTTTAGGAGATCCTGTCTCAAAATAAAAAACTGAAAATAAAAGGGCTGTGGTTGTAGCTCAGTGTTAGGGCGCTTTCCTAGCACTGTGTTTAATCCTCAGCACCACATAAAAATAACTAAAAGAAAGATGTGTGTCCATCTACAACTTTTAAAAATTTTTTAAACAATAAGGGCTGGGGATGTGGCTCAGTGTTCAAGTGCCTCTGGGTTTTATCCCTGGTACCAAGGGGGAAAAAAGGAAATTGGAGGGCTCAAATGATGACAGGGTGAGAGGAAAGCATAAGAGGGAAAAGGACAAACAAAGCAAACATGCAGGATGTTAATCGTTAACACCACTGACCCATCTAAAACACCGGACCAGTCAAACTGAGGAATACACCAAGTCTGGTGTGTGTGTGTGTGAGGGGTGCTATTCTAGGGCAGGCACTGGCAAGCTACAGCCACTGCCTGTTTTTTCTTAGTGGTTTCAGAGGAAGATAGCCTTGCTCATTCAGCTATGGATTTCAGGTAGGTATTACTGTATATATCAGGCTCTGCTATATATTATGCATATGCTACTTTCACTCTTAATAGACTACGGTTCATCTCTCTATCTCTATCCGGGGGTTTTTAATAGGTCATTTGGATGTCTCTGAGCAATAGCTATTGTATATTATGGCCAAGGTATAGGAGAGGTATGTTTCTAAATGAGTCTCCTCTTATTCCTCTTCTACTTGCAAGATTACAGATTTTATAGATCCCATTTCTCTTCCAACTGATTTCATCACCCAAGACCTGAAAGACTGGGAATGTACAAGTGTGTGAGGGGTTCAGGCAGGAAAGGGTCACAATGACTTACAGCCGAGCCCACCTATTCTCCTGAGGATCTCAATTCCATCTGCCCGAGCTTTGCTATTTTCATGCGACCTACAACACATGAAAAATCCTTTCTTCTTGGTTTAGCTGCCCCATCATCGAAGGTTTTCAAAAGAAACAACTACCAAAATTTAAGAGGAAACAAAATTCAAATGGAAGGAAAAATGTTAACAGAAGTTTTCTGACCTACACTTAATTTCCGGCAGAAATCAGTGGGCAGTTTTAAGACTTCGTTAAAGTTCCCTGGCTTATATTCCTTCCTTCACTCTGAACCAACTGTATGCAAAGACACAGATTCTCTCCAAATACCTGTATCTCCCTCAAGCAAAGCCTTCAACCCTCCTCCAGAAAACCAGTCACAGTTCCAGGGGGACAAGGACCACCACCTCACTGCTGCACCACCTACCTCAGTGCCTTCCACGGGACCACTGACTGGTGCCTAAGGACACCACTTTCTCTAGCACAGACATTCTTCTGAGGGCTTCCAGTCATCCTTGGGAGGGTCTCCTCTCAGAAAGGCCATTTCTTCCTCTCACCTGTTCACTGAAGTCTTTTTGCTTATGAGACCAAATATTTAATAACAGCCCCCACTATCTGTAGGAAACTGAGGGGTGGGGAATGAAGGGAAAGGCTTGTAGGAAACTGAGGGGTGGGGAATGAAGGGAAAGGCTTGTCAAGCATACTGTAAGGTATGCCCCTCACATCTTCCTTTGTTAAATATATACTGTTTGGGGAACTTTGAAGATCCACAATTCTAGCTTTCTTCCAGAAAACATCTTCTCACACTCAAGATATTAACAAATCCTCAGGCTCTCCACAGCCAAGGATCAGGGAATTCCTCAGGATAAGGTATTTTTTACACAACAAATAAGAGTTTAAGAAAATGGCTTTTTCTTTCATCTGTAAATATTTAAAAATCCCCCTGCTAAATAAGTTGGGAACAACGCCTGGCTTCACTCAAGAGGAACGCCCCATGTGCCACTGTCCCAGGCCCTAGGACCGTGTGGCATTGGAGTGCAAGGCTAACTGTTGAGCAACACAGAAAACTGCGCACCATCCACATGACTGCAACACACTGAAGAGTTTTCAAAATCAGAACATGGGGCGTCCCTCCTCCAAAAGCTATTTAAATTGGAGGAAGAAGGGGACAAAGTAACGAGAAGTGCTTAAGATGCCTCCTAAATAAATCACATATGGGTAAGACAAAAAACAGACTAGTGGTGTTTTTCGTTTCCTCCTCCACTAAAGGAGTCTAACTAAGGGGACCTCCAGACTGCGAGGAGGAGCCCACCAAATTTCAGTCTGCTGAGAGCCACAGGCATCCAAAGGAGCTGAGCCAGCAGCTGGCTCAAGTGTGGCGGGGAGAAAGCAGCGCTCCGCTGCAGCGGGCAGCCCTGCGTGGTCTCCAAGGGCTTGGGCCGGGGCTTTCGCCTGCAGCGCGGGCCAGGGCGCAGGCATGCACTCAGCAGCCCTGTCCTGCTGTGCTGCGAAGCCGCCAGAGCCTCTGCAGATGCGAAGAACGCTGCACCTGGAGCCGCGGACAGGAAGTGGGTATCAGGAAAGGAGAGGAGCCCAGTAAACAGAGTCCAGGAAAGGCAGCCGCAGGCAGCTCGGCTGTGTGTGGGGCAGGGCCGCGGAGAGGTGGGAGTGTGCACGGGGAGAATGGGTGAAGGGCGGCCCGGTTGCGCCCGGTGCACAGAAGATGCTCCCTGCGAGCAGCCGGACCGACCCCGCGGGCGGTGGGCTTCACCTAGCACGTGATGCTGGACAGCTGTTG